TCCTCAGTTGAAAACACACTAGCAGATTTCTACAGTCTTCTACTGTGTTACCCAAACAATAACCGAAAATAGAGAATTTTGGGTGGGCCAAAATTCTAGTAGAAACCGCAGTCAGAATCATGTAAAAAAAATGTCCAACCCTTATATCCATATATATATAGTTGCGTTTTTTAGGTCAAAATCGTTTTCAAAACCTGTTAGGTTTCCTTCTCCCACTAAGGGACGGTTTCCACGTTTTCTTTCCCACTAAGTAACAGTTTCCACTATTTTCTATTATTTAGGCACAGTAGGGACCACATAATTTAATTAACAAGGCTTCCTATTATGATATTAATTTCGAAATTCTGAAACTAATTTCCATCATAATAAATTACGAATTATTCCACTAAAAATTCGTAATTGCACTCCTTAGTTCAATTTCGAAATTCTTCCATAAAACCTTATTTAACTCCCCATGTTAAGATTCAGATACTAATCAATCAAATTAAATTACTGACTATTTAATTTATTGATTACTTCCTTTAGACTTACACTTAACTTATTTCATGTGTCGGATACAAAATCCACCGGCCGGGTTTACACATGAAAACTTATAAGCTTTCATAAAGGAGTATCATCAATCTCAAAATTGAGACATGGATTCCATCAACTAATTATTACTTCGCCAATGTATATCATTGTTATCCAATTTACCAGGCTTATTGACTCGCGAAAGAATCTCGCCTTTTAATAAATCAAAACAACAAGTGACATACACAGCTAATAATAATTATATCAGGATTAAGAGTATAAGTACATTAAATGGACTAGAGAAATTATTTTATAAAGTCAGTATAAAATACTCATCTCTACTTGATCCGTTCAATACATACAACATGTACTAGCACAAGAAGTTGGAATTAAACCATTCTCATAATCAAGATAAATTGTATTTAATCTTGTGCTACAATCATTCTGATGATTTGTCCAATTCTATCATTAGATTGTGAACATTAACTTTTATGTCTTACAAGAACCGATGATTTAATCTTCCGTGTATAAGCTAAACTCTATACACTAAATCATCTACTATGTAAGCAATGGACGCACAAACCAACGCATGATCTATTTAAAATGAAACTTTATTGAATTTAAACAAGTAAATAAATAATTGTTCATAAAGAATACTATAACAATACGCATGACTTATAGTATATTCTAACAATTCACACATTCATTGAAATGATGAAGCTAGTCAACAATATAAACAATGGTTGACAGCCTTGATTGGGTAACTTCATACATTTTTGGAAACAAAAAGGGGAGTTGACCTTAATATATATATATAAAATCTTTTGGGAGGTGTCTGTAAATTTCACCTTATTATATGGTTGGAATTGGGGATAAAATTTATTCCGATATTGATCTATAATGTGATAATAATTTGACCTTAATTTTGAGAGTAGTACAAAATTAATATATAATTCCAATATTGATCTCCATGTTCTCTCCAGCTCAGTTCTACGAGGTGTTGACTTTGTACCAGTTGTTATATTTTATGGGAACTCTAAAGAATGGCTCTTCTGAAATTTCAAGGCATGATATGGGTCTGAGATCTATAATTTGAGTCGTCTCCAAACTGGCTGTTACTTTAAATATACTGTATGTGACGGTATATTTTTATCTTTTACGGTACCTTCTCTCCACATGCAGTGATCTGCACTATATATAGGGCGAACATCTCTCTCCCGTAGTGATGCTATAATCTCCATCCTAACTTGTTACGATCGAATTGAAACCTTAGCCTGAGTTGTTTATTTCAATCATTTATGTTTGGTCGTCCATGTGAAGCCTGTTCTTTTTTTCTTTTAATAATTCTATTAGACTTCACTTCCATTATATTAATTACCCCAAAAAAAATAAAAAAATAAAAATAGAATGACTTTTCCTAAGACTCAAGATTTATTAATGAGGTCCAAATATTATATTGCCTGCCCCCTCAGATCAGCCATTTAAACCAGCGTGCTTGGGTTGATCATATTGTAAGAGAAAACCCATTCTTAGTAACACCAAAAAGTCACTCTCTTGCTCTTTGTTTCTCAATACTGTTAAGAGTTTGATTATGGATAGAGAGTTGGCTCAGTTCCAGATGGAGGCGATTCTAGGACCTGAGTTAGAGCCATTTGAAACCTTTATTTTGGATCATATGTCGAGGGCCAAAAAAAAATATTCAAAGGCTAAGTCAATGTTCAGTTTGTTAAAGCAAAAGGATCCAAACTCCCTTGCTCTTAAGCTAACTGACTCTCTTGGCTCTTCTCATGAAGTTGATTTTCGTGAAGTTTGTGCTGAACTCCTTCACAAGTTGCTTGATGACGACGACTTGTGCACGTGGCACAATCTAAGTGTCTCCACTCAGTCCGCCATAAAGCGTTTTCTCATTGATCATATTGAGCAAGAAGAATCAGAATCAGAATTTATCATCCAAGAGCTCCGTCACACCATTTTGTATCTAGCTGTTTCACTTGTTCCAGATAACAACTGGTCTGAGTTAATGCCATTCCTTATGTGCTGCATCACTTCCGGTTCAAACAAGTTAAAAGTCTCAGCTTTCTTGATTTATGGGCTAATAGCTGACAGAATAACGGTCGTTTGCTCAAAAAATATGCAATCGCAACTTCTTAATGCACTGAACTATAATACCAGCCTCGATTTAGATGTGAGGATAGCGGCTATGACAACTGTGATCTGCTTCATTCAAAGCGTATCTAGTTCAAATGAAAAGGAACGGTTTCAAGATCTTTTGCCAGGTATGATGAAGACAATGACAGACGCATTGACCCACGGTAAGGAGAAGGTCGCTGCAGCGCGAGACGTGTTGAATCTTTTCATAGAGCTGGCGCAGAATGAGCCTAACTTCTTTAGGACGCAACTAACTGTTGTTGTGGGTTCAATATTGGAGATAGCAGAGGATGAGAAATTGGAAGAGGTGACGAGGCACTTGGCAGTTGAATTTTTGATAACTTTGGTTGAGGCAAGAGAGAGGGCCCCCGGTATGATGAGGAAGTTGCCCTCCTTTAGTAGAAAATGCTTTGCAATATTATTGAAGTTATTACTAGATATTAAGGATGATCCTGCTTGGCATAGTGCGGAGACCGAGCATGAGCATACAGGGGAAACAAACAACTACACGTTTGGTATGACATGTTTAAACCGGTTTTCTGTTGCATTAGGTGGCAAGACTGTTGTTCCTATTGCCATAGAGCAGCTGTCTGCTTACGTGGTTTCCCCCGAGTGGGAGAAACGCCACGCAGCTCTCGTTGCACTTGCTCAGATAGCTGAAGGTAGCTCAAAGGTACAAATCTTATATCTCATTAGTGTATTTATCATGAATATGTTGCGATGATTATATTGTGTTTTGGAGCTGCTTTTTTGCTAGCAAATTGATAGGATATAGACAAGATAGTTTTCCCACTTCCTCCTATTAGTTTAGACTCTCTCTTCTACTTTAATTTTCGTAGGCTATTAGCTTGAATCCGCTTATGCTTTCCTGAGCTGAGAGTCTATTGGAAACAGTCTCTCTAACTCCACAAGGTAGGGGTAAGGTCTATGTACACATAACCCTCCCCATACTCTACCATGTGGGATTACACTACGTATGTTGTTGTGTTGTTGTTGTTGTTGATTAGCTTGAACCCATGAATTCTCTTTTATAGGTTATGATCAAGTATTTGGAGCAAGTAGTGAATATGATTATGCGTTCTTTCCAAGATCCTATTCCTCGAGTCAGATGGGCTGCTATTTATTCAATTTCCAAATTGTCAACTGTCTTCTGTACAGATTTGCAAGTACAACATCATGACCAAGTATTGCCTGCATTAGCTACAACTATGGATGATTTTGGAAATCCACGAGTGCAGGTCTGATCTATGGTGATATGAACCCTTAATTAATGGTCAATGCAGACTTCTCAAATTACAATTGCACCTATAAAAGAATAGGTTATTATTAGTTATACGAAAAACAGCCATCAAAATTATCGTTCTGCAACTTTGCAATGGGGTTACATATTCCATAAAGCTGATAATCTATAACTTGAATAGGATTAATCTGTTTAACATTAAAAAGTTAAGGATATTTGTGAAACTTCCCTACTAGAATATTGTGCAATTAGTATCTTAATAGCCTGATTTATGGAGTCTTAACAGTGCATTGCTTGAAATCTAAGGTTACAAATGTATTTTTGGTTTACATTAAGCTCTTGCTTTAAATATATTTGGGTCATTATACTGCTTCACTCAGTTCATGACATCAGCTAAGTTACTCGATTTGCTCTCTTTGGCATTAATTTTCATAGGCAAATGCAGCTAGAGCTGTCGCAGCTTTCAGCGGATCTTTAAAGCAAGAAACATTGGTACCTCCAGAAACTTTGGTACCACACTTAGATGGATTACTTAGCAAACTTGTTGTACTTATACAGGTATGCAAATATAGAGGCCACCATGTTATAAAGGTAGATTAATAACTACTAGTCTAAGATATTCACTGCTGTTGTTTGAAATGCAGAATGACAAAGTCCAAATGGTTCAAGAAGCAGCATTAAAGGCGTTGTCTGGTATAGCTAATTTGTCTAAGGTATTACCTACTTGCATTTATTTTTGACTCAGTTCTATATCTACTTATAATGATGGCTAATATAACATACTTCGACGTACAGGTGCACTTCCAAAAGTACTATGATTTTGTAAAGCCATATTTGAAAATTATCCTGGTAAATGAAAATGGTGAATCTTATCGCTACCTTCGAAGCATAGCGTTGGAGTGCATAAGCTTTATTGGGACATCTGTAGGCAAAGAGAAATTCAAAGATGACTTAAAGCAGGTCTACTCTCCACGCCCGGTACTTCATTGAGTGAGTTTTTTCCACGATACCATTGCAGATGGAATCTATGTTGCTTGGACTCTCCAAAAATGTTGCCGGGTGCGTGTCGGATCTTCCAAAAGTAGTACATTTTTGAAGGATCCGATACGGGTGCTGCAGCATTTTGGAGAGTCTGCACAACATAGGATGGAATGTCTTTGTTCTTGTTTGCTTTTGCTATGCTAGTCAGATGGCTTTCTAGTGGACAAACCATAGTATTCTCCTACTAGTTGCTTTTTGGTCTTACATTCTTCCTCTCTTTTGACACTCTATTTCTTCACTAGGTGGCGTGGTGTGATCTTATCGCATTTTTTCATTTCTGAACATGGACTTTTTTTTTCTTCTTTTCATTAAAGGTTATGGAAGTGCTTAATTACTCATTACAAGAACCACAAGTGAAAGAGTTTGATATTGCTTGCAATCTACAGGTATGTCTTAATCATTTGATTTTACGGGCTCAAAACTTCTTTTTAGATTTGCCTCTCAATATTTTTGATTTCTTGATTGGATCGCAGTCATGCTTCAGGATTTGCTACTGCATGGGGAAGGATTTTCTTCCTTACATGAGTACATTAATGCCCCCTTTGGTTGAATGTGCTCAACTTGAGCCCGATAAGACCGTGTCCTCTGATAACTTATATGATAGGTAAGCCTTTACATTTAGATACTTTTTCTTCTTAATTTGGATGTTTGCGTTCTTTTTCTATCTTTGATTTTATGTTATCCATGATTAGTAGTAATTTTTTCTTCTAAGTTAATTTGGCACTTATATCAACTAGAGATTGAATGTTATCCAGATTCATTGGATAAGTTTCACATTTTGCAGTGTACATAAAGTCAAGTTTCGGAATGAAATAATACGCCTTGGAGGAAATGACCTCCTATATCAGAAATCTTTAGCCTGTGATATCCTTGGTTTATTTGCCCGGAAATTGGAAGAAGACTTCTACCCGTGGATTCCCCAGGTCGTCCTGAATGATCACCTGCACATATTCATTTTCTCATGTGATGCTGAGTGAAAGTCAAATAAAATTAAACAAGTAATATCAATTGCTTAATTCATGAAACAGGTTGCTTCAGTCTTGGTTCCGCTTCTGAAATTCTATACCCATGACGAAGCCAGGAAATGCTCTGTTAAATGTGAGGATTCTCAATGATTTCATACTGCTTTCTAATTTTCTAATTCTTCACTTTGCTGATGCAAATTTTCTAATTTTTGCCTGTTTAAGCCATGTATAACCTCTTGCGTTCTGCCAAACTGGCTGTTGAGAAAGAGATTGCGCAAGGTGGAACCGAGTCATATTTCAAGGAGTTGGCAGACTATATAATACTGTCTCTGTTAGAAGCTTTGCATGAGGTTGTCCTTAATATCAGTACTTATGTTCTTTTTTTTGTTGTTGCGGGAAATGTTTAAGTTTCTATTTGGATAAAAAGAGAAAGTGACACTTCATTTGTTACCTAACACAGGAGTCTATGGCAGAAATATGTGCATTCATGTTGGATGAATTGAATCATTGCCTGCAGGTTTGGTTATGTCTGAGACAGTCTCTCTTTAATATTCTTGATCCAAGTTTACAGTGTTTTCCTAATTTGGGAGTATGGTAAATAACTCCAATTTCTTCTCCTTCAATAGAGATCTAAATCGAAGGGGAGCCTTGGCGTAACTGGTAAAGTTGCTGTCATATGACCAGGAGGTCACGGGCTCGAGCCGTGAAAACAACCTCTTGTGAAATGCAGGGTGAGGTTGCGTGCGTACAATAGACCCTTGTGGTCTGGCCCTTCCCCGAACCTCGCGTAGTGATAGCTTATAGAGATCTAAATAAAACACTGTATTCTTGATATTGCTTGAAGTGTTCCATTAGTACTATCAAGGTTAAAAAGAGAAATGGCAAAATAGGTTTTTCAGATTATTTCTTTCTTTTTTCAGATCAGTCCACCACTTCTCATTGAAGATCAGCTCAGTCGAATAGTGAATGAGGTAAAGCATGTCATTACGGAAAGTTCAAATAGAAAACAAAAACTCAAAGAGAGAGCAAAATCAAAAGACTTTGATGCTGAGGAAGATGAATTGCTAAGGGGGGAAAAAGAGCAAGAAGATAATAGTTTGTTCCATGTATGTTCCATTTCAAGAATAAGTTATTATCTATTAGAAATGACACCAGGTAGCCACTCGAAAGGCTGCTATTCAGGAATTAGTCATTACGTCCTGAATTTTAGTTTTCCAGTTCAATTTTTCAGGACAAAAATGTTCTGAATTGTCCTAACGTTAAGATTTTTAGTTTAAAACTTCAGGACAAAATAAATACTGGTTAATCTCTAAATAGCACCTCTAAAAATGATTATCTGTGCGCTTGCCCCTATTATCTATTATTATTCTCTAATACGAGTTGCGCTGGTTATTGATACACCCATTTATTGAACTTAGCTCATCTTGACCCAAATCATCTCAACCCATTTAAAGTTGGTCTAATTTTTAGCCCAAATTGACACATGAGTAACTTTGTCAGAATATCTTAGAAATATTTTTTTGTTTGATATGTTATATATGACTATAACAAAAGAAAAAAAAATTATTTAGTAACAACACAATTCATAAGAAAATAACACATTAATTAAAGTTTGGTAAGAGTTGGGCGGGTTGGACTATGACCCAAATTTTAGCCCATCTTGACTCAATCCATCTCAGCCCAAGTAACTTTTTGACCTGCCCTTTATTGACTCAATTTTGAACCGCCCAAAATCAACCCAACCCGCCAATTTGACACCCCTATTCTCAAATAACATAAAGCATTTCTTATCAGGTTGGTCTAGTATTAAATACGTTGATCGAAACATTCAAGTCTGGTTTCTTGCCTTTCTTTGACGAGCTCATGTCATCATATCTAATTCCTATGTGGGTAAGTTCACGACATGATTATCACTGTCATCCTAACACTCTAGTTTGTTATTCATTTACATATCTTAATTTACATTTCTTTCTTTCAATTTTTCTTTGCTTATATGAAGCGCAAAGATATGACAGCTCAAGAAAGATGCACACCATTTCTTATCTTTGATCATCTTCTGGAGGAGTGCCCTGAAGCGGCTCTAAAGTGTGTATAATCAGTTTTTTCTTAAATGTTCCACCAGGGGCAGCCCGGTGCACTAATTACTTGCTATGCCCCGGGTCCGGGGAATGATCGGACCATAAGAGTCTATGCAGCCTTACCCTGCATTTCTGCAAGAGGCTGTTTCCACGGCTTGAACCATTGACCTCCTGGTCACCTTGCAATAACTTTACCAGTTACGCCAAAACTCCCCTTCTCTTAAATTTTCCACCGTATTGATAAATTTACTCACTATGTCCAATTAGGTACTCTGATGAATTTCTTCCTTTGCTTTTGGATGCAAGCAATGACGAAAGTCCAGCAGTTAGACAGGTTTGGTTATCTTAAATATGGTTGCTGACAAGTTCTTTATTCAAGTGGTTGCTTCACTGGTTTAACCAAACACCATTGATGTCGTGTTCAGTGTGCTTTTTATGGACTTGTGCTTTATGCCGAATATGGTGGTTCTGATTTCAAACCTGTTGTTAAAGGTATAATATATATCATGACAAAAGATGATGATACTTACAATAGTATACTTTTACTTACTTATTCTCGTGAAATGATTCAGAGGCTATTTCAAGGATCAATGTAGTGATAATGCATTTTTGGGCTCGTGAATCTGAGAATGAAAGTGCATTTGATAATGCTGTTTATGCACTTGGTAAGATTTTTCAGTTTCATTGGGAAAATATTGACTCATCAACCCAGGTTTGTCCTTCTCGAAATCGCTAATGTTTATTTGTTTATGCATTTTTAAGCCTACATTCATATATGCTTATGTTGGAATTACTATTTTTACTTTCTGTTTATCCTATAGTTGACTCATATGTACTATTTAATCTTGTTATAATTTCTTCATAATTCTAATTCCAAAATTAATTGGTAGATTATTCCGGTTTGGTTAAACTGCCTTCCTATAAAGTGTGACATGGCTGCAGCCAAATATGTTCATGATCTACTATGTTCAATGGTTGAAAGGTACTGTATTAGTTTGCTATACTTTTCATCCTTTTCTGGTCTTCACTTTACAATATCAGTACTTGATTAGAAATGTTTTCCACAGATAAATTATGTGTTCTTTGTTCTAGCATGCATTTCGTTCGAAATAAATTTCTTAATATCACATCTTTGGAAAACTAAGCAATCATTAGTTTAACGAACTGCTTGAGGTAATTATATTATTTTAGAATCATAAATAATATTATGATCTAGATAGACTTCTATTATAGTTTTTGAACTAATACACAAACTCATATAGTAAATCGTTTTTATATAATCTTTATTGTCTTACTAAATTTTCTCACGTGCAGGTTAGACGAAGAACTTATTGGTCCCAACTATCAGTACATTCCAAAAATTATTTCAATTTTTGCAGAGGTTAATCTGAAATCAAAAATATTAGATGTTAGAAAGTTGATTGATCGATATGACACTGCCAATATGACTGTCTCATAATATTGTGGAATAGTGGCCTCTTATCAAACTAAATTTTATGTATACACATTCAATAATTGTCTGTTGCTTCTGTGTAGGTTCTATGTTCTGAAATTGATTTTGCTACACAAGAAACTACAAATCGCATGATTAATGCATTGAGGCATATTCAACAGACACTATCACCAGCCGCCATGGAATCAGCATTTTCATATCTTTTGCCTCGGCAAGAGATGGAATTGAAATCCATTCTATCACTTGAAGAAGATGTTTAACTTTTAACCAATCCAATGAAACCACTACTATTGTAAACATTTTGATGTTCAATATTCCTCTAATGTAATTTCCCTTATTCCGAGTCCTTTGGTAGTTTATACCAACTTCGGTTGAATTGCTGCCTGCCTATAAAAGCTGACCTGATTGAAGCCAAACATGTTTTTTGTTCAGAATGTACATAGATGTAATTTCATATAGTATACATAGCACAATCATAGGTAAGATATTTAGGGATTTTTTGATTTTGTTTCCTTAAATAGATTCACTTGTACACCCACAAATAGCTCTCATTCTTTGAATAACAAGAAAAGAATATTGCTCCATTGTCTCTGTATTTTACATTCTTGAACAGTTGTGTTCAATGGTCTAGTTTGTATCCTCATTTACTCTTAAGTAATTCAAGTCTTGATTTTGTTACCTTAGAATTGCTCATTAAGGCTGGTAACAGGGGCAACAATGAAAACCAGTTCCTAGGAATTCCACTAATTAATATAATTACTAGTGATTTGCTCACGCTTCGCGCGATAATTAAACATTTAAATAATCCTTTTCTAATATACAAATGACAAAAAGATTTTTTTTTTCAAATCTAAAATCATAAGATTTCAAGATTTAAAAAAAAAAATCTTTTTGTCATTTGTATATTAGAAATTTTATCTATTTTATCGTTGGCAAATGTTATATTTTTCTCTAAGTTTTCTAAAACTTAAATGAATAGCAAATTTTAAATCATGTTTTGTTTTGTACATTTGGCATGTATTTAACTATCTTTGTTTTAATTTCATTTCATTAATGAGTTTAATTTTAATTTCTTTATAATCTAAAAAGAAGGGTTACTATATAAAGACATAATCTCAACGTGTCCCATAATTTTAACTACAAACACAAATTTTGTGGGGGTTCCTATTATACCTCATATGCTTGTAAAAGTGTATTTTCTATCACTCATGACACCATATGGCATAGTAATGACTTTTACTCCCTTAAACGAGTGAATAGGATAATGTATATGTGATAGACCCAAAAGGTCATCACTCGTTTTGAAAGTAAATTCTATGTTCCGAGACCTTAAAAATCTCTTTTTGTTTTACCTCGATTTACGTGTGCAGTCCGGACGCATTTCCGAAAAGCTTTTATGTAAAATCTAAGTAAAATAAGGAAATCGACCTTTAAAATGGATTAAAGTTGACTATGGTCAACATTCTAGGTAAATGGACTCGGACCCGTGATCCAATGGTCTCTTAGGGTCCGTGGTAAAATATGGGACTTGAGCATTTGCCCGGAATCGAATTCCGAGGTCCCAAGCCCGAGAAAAGAATTTTTAAAGAAAATTATTTGCTGGAAAATATAAGGCTTTTAGAAGTGAATTGATACAATTTTTTGATGGTATCGGGCCCGTATTTTGGTTCTGGAGCTCGGTACAAGTTTAAAATAATAATTTGATTGAATCTGTGGAATTTGGTAAGAATCTGAGTTCGTTTGGTATAAAACGGACCTATAGTTGAGAAAATAGAAATTTCAATGTTCTTGAGTGATTTCATGAATTTGAGGTTTAATTCACAGTTATTGATGTTATTTTGATGATTTGATCGCACGAGCAAGTCCGTATGATATTTTTGGACTTGCGTGCATGTTTGATTTGGAGCCTCGAGAGCTCGGGTGAGTTTTGGATAGGCCACAGAGTGTATTTGGACTTAGGAAAATTGTTGCAGGTTCAGTTATGGTATTATGGCCTCTGATCTCGCAATTACGAGATCAGGGATCGCAAATGTGATGTCCGATGGCATGGGAATTGCGAAGGGATGATTGCAAATGTGAAACAAGCCCTGGCTAACTTAGCTCGCATTTGCGAGCCTTTCTTCGCAAATGCGAAAAACCTCAGAAATCCCAGAGGTCGCAAATGCGACCCTCTCCGTCGCAATTGCGAAGATGACAGGAATTTGTTAGGGTCGCAAATGCGACAGTTTTTTCGCATTTGCGAAGCTAGCAGGAAATCTCAGGGATCTGCACCTGATAAGTAGGATTTCATACGGGATTCTTCTTCATTTTTACAACTTTTTAAACCCTAAAACATCTTTGGGTGATTTTTCAAGGGCGCAAACTCTTCCAAATCATTAGTAAGTCATTTCTAACTCATTTCTTTCAATCTAATCCATCTTTTCACTTAATTTCATTTCAAAATCAAGGGTTTTTCATGGGAAATTTGGTGATTTTGGGTAGAACTTAGGATTTTCAAATTTAGGGATATGGACCTCAATTTGAGGTCCGATTTAAAAAAAAATTATATATTTGTGTTCGTAGGTGAGAGGGTGATCGGGTTTTGATTCGAACCTCGGGTTTTGACCAAGCAGGCCCAGGGTCGATTTTTGACTTTTTGGGAAAATCATTAGAAAACCTACTTTCATGCATTAGAATTGGTTTATTTACCATTTATTGATATCGTTAAATAAATTGTGACTAGATACAAGCGAATTGGAAGTGAAATCGAGAGCTAAAGCGGTATTTTAGGCTTGATTGTGTTCGTGGCATTGAGGTAAGTGTTTGGTCTAACCTTAGCTTGAGGAAATAGGAGTTGTGGTCTTATTTGTTATATGTTAAGTGATTGAGTACGGCGTATAGGTGTGGTGACGAGTATCTATACGTTGGTGTCAAGCATGCCTGTGGGTCTTATATTATGATTGTTGTGACTTCCTTATGTATTGTCCATGCTTAATATGATGATTATCAATATTGAACAAGGCTTATGAAAGTATTCTTGGTAATTGGCCATGGTTGAGCATTGGCTCAAGTTGAGATTTATGTTGAGAAGCGATTGTGGAATCGAGATGAGATATATTGTTGATTCCCTTGCTGGGATGTTATTGCTTATGATATTGTTTCCCTTGCCGGGATGTTATTGCTTATAATATTGTTTCTCTTGCCTGGATATTATTGATATACTATTGTTCCCTTGCTGGGATTCCATTGTGATTTTATGATTCCCTTTCCCGAATTGCTTTGTGATTGTTGCTTGGGTAAGGAAGAGTGGAAAGCACGAAGGTTGATGTCATGCGTGATATTTGTGAGCGAGTGTTAATGCACGGAGGGTGATGCCGTTCCGATATTGTGAAAATAAAAGTACGAAGGGTGATGTCGTTCCATGATATGAGTGATAATGCACGAAGGATAATGTCGTGCCATGATTGTATGAGGTAAAAGCACGAAGGGTGATGCCGTGCCGAATCTATTGATTTTTATGGTGAGAACGAGAGTAAAAGCACAAAGGATGATGTCGTATATTTGTTATTGATTTCTTATTCTTGCTAATATGAAATTTTGGTGTTCCTTATGTTTCTCTACTAAGATTCTATTAGTACCTGTTATTCCCCGTAGTATGTTTCCCCTTCCCATCTTTAAATGTTAGTTTCTGTTACTATTATTTATTGTACATGATTTAACTGCACAGGTCTTACTTGATAGTCTTGTCCTAGCCTCGTCACTACTTCGCCGAGGTTAGGCTTGGTCGCGGCCTACTCCGCACTACTATTGAGTAGCGAGAGAGGGTCGGAGCAGCTTTTACTCGATTTAGGGTCGGGATCGATTTCCACAGAGAGCTAGAATTTGGAATCGAGTATCTATCTAGTTTAGGATTGCGTATGTGTTCCAAATTACACTTCTAATCATTTTTGGGGTTTTCGTTTTACTTCTACTATTATCAAACTACAAATGGTAAATGCAACTAGATTAAGCTAAGAGTTAATGCTACGGGTTGTTCAAATATTTTAAAAGGCACTAGGGTAGTGACTTTCGCCTAGGTGGTCAATTGACGGGTAATTGAATATAAGATATGATTAACATAATTGGGGAGTATGATATAACTGTTGCACGATATTACCCACTCTACACCTCTCGGTGGTTCGAGTGATTTTGCCCGAATTGACTTTCTCAAGACTAATTGGGTATGCAAATTTGCACAAGTAACTAGGGTTCAAGTCGGGTATTACTCTCTCGAGATTTAACCCTTTAATTGGGGCTATCAATCTCTTGAGTACGCCCCAATTCCTTGTTGGACCAATTTCGAAGACTTAGGCTCTCTTTCTCAAGAAGAGCCCTAGTCAACTATACACAAACTAGTGTTTGCAACCACTAATTCAGCAATTAACCATGAAATTAGCCCAAATCTCAAACAACCATTGTCAATCTAGCCCTAAGATACAAGACTCATCAATTACCCACACTAGGGTTGAGCCACAACCCTAGCTTTTGGGTCTAGCTACTCATAATTAAAGAAGAAAAGCAAGAAATAGATGAAGAACAACTCATATTAATTAATTGCTATGCTAAATAACAAGATTCAATGATGAAAAGTAGATAAAATTGCCCAAAATAGCTAAGAATCTCGAACCCACAAGCGCAGATGCTTAATTCCAATATCTGATACCCTAAAAATGGGAAAAAACCTATTTATACTAAGCTGAAAATTCTGGACAAAAATGCCCCTGTGGGGTTAGTGCGAACCGCACAAAATGGAGTGCAGCCGCACTAGGGCTCTTGACTTCAAAATCCAACTCTCTGAACTCAAACAATGCAGACCGCACAGAACGGATTGCGGCCGCGGAGGCTTCTAGTGCAGTCTGCACAGAATGGACTGCGGACCGAATTGGCTTGAAACTTCAAAATTACATCTCTCTGATTCTTGGGTCTGCGGACCGCACTAAGTCAAGTGCGGACGCATTAATTTTAGTGCGGACCACACAAAACCTAGTGCGGCCGCATTGCCTTTGTGCCTGAATGTCAACCTCTCTAAATCTCCGCACTGGGCTTGTTTTGCCTGAGATTTGTCTTGTCTTGGGACTTGTGCAAGTTTCACTCCTTTTTGAGCTGATCTTTGACATTTTGTCACTTTGTTGATCAAACCTGCAATCAAGCACAACTTGTGAGCCTTTTGGGACTATTTTGTATGAATTTCTAATCAAAGCATAAGCAAGAAAGGGTATAAAATGCGTTAAAATCCCTAGTTATCAACTCCCCCAAACTTAAGCTTTTGCTTATCCTCAAGCAAACAAAATAAGACTCACCCCTTAAGGGAAAAATCCAAGAAATTTT